AATTAAATTCAATAAGCTTACCCTTGCATTTCCTTCGTGTTGTCTTGTCTATGTATATCCGTCTTGTCAAATGCAATGATCATCCGTGTGGATGTGAGCAGAGGGAGATGCGTCTCTGGAGCAAACTCTTGAAGAGGAACTCGTTACTGAAGAAAATTTAGTAGAAGTTGAGGTGAAGGCCGAACAGTGAGGCGTTCGGTTATTTAGTTAGTTTGATTAGAGTAGCGAGCGTCTGTGAGCGAGCGCTCTTTTGTTGCTGTATATATATATATTGGAACGTTCGGTCAATTCTTGTAAACCGTTCGTCCTCCTTGCTTTGTAAACGCTCGTTGTTTTAAATGAAAGGCCGTTCGGCCATTTATTCAATCTGCTTACTGTATTACTAAACTGTTTTGCCATATTGATTAATGTGATTATTCTAAGTATATAGTTGATGACTGTATATTTCCGGGATGTTACAAGGGAGACTTCCGACATTGTTATTTTGTTCTGACCAACTTTGGATCAAGGAAATTGCGTTTGTTGAATCCTCGTCCAATGGGAAACTGATGAATACTGTAGAAATAAGTGGAAGAAACAAAATTAGCTTTCAGTTCAAAGTTAAAGAACTTCAGATGCGTCTCCAAACTAAGAAAAGGAGATGAAAGAAACAAAAAAATTTCAGCTTACAGTTTCATCCTTTGAACGCATAATGAAGTACACCAACTCATTTAGTCATGAGTAATGCATGGTCATAAAAAAATAAATTTTTTGTATTTTTTTAAAAAAAATTAAAAAAAAATGATGTCAAATAAATATAAAAATTTAGACGTGTTAAAAAATATATATATATATATATAATTTTTTTTAATATTGTACTATATGAACAGGTATATTAACAGGTATTATTGAGTTTAATTGTCTAAAAATATAATGTGTTAATGGTTAATGAATGTGTTTGGCTGCCACAAACCTATAAATATACAATTGATGTACAGATAAAATAACTTTGATCTATCTTAAAAATATAAAGACCTTTTTCAAAAAGATATCTGACTTAAGCGTCATTGTCTTCTACATATCAACAATGCATCGAAGTCGATTGCATTCTTAGATAGGATTTGAGGATTAAAAGAGAGCAGAACAAAAAAAAAATGACCGATCCTCGGATCAATTCAACCGATACAAGTTATATATTGTGTGTAATATTGGTTATATAATATAATTTATACATTATATTTAATGAACAATATTATTTAGCAGTTATATTATGTGTACTAGACTATTTAGCATCAAGTTTCTCTGTTTGAATCTTCAAATAGTGGAAGTTTGCAATGTTATCAATAAACTTAAATGAAAAAAAATTAAGAAAAGAGTAAACAAACTTTATAATGGATGTTTGTATTGGTGATCAAAGATCTTACAATTAGTGGATTGCAAAACAAAACGATTTAATGCGATTGAGTTAGATTTAATTTTATTAATTAGTACATCTATTTTTTGAACCCTCTCGTTCATTACCCAGTACCAGAACGCTATGTACTGATATCAGTATTACTATCTGCTTTATTTGGATTGACTGATAGGAAAATATTAAATAAAGCAGAATTTCAATCAATTTAGTTGTTTTTTGTTTTCCTTAAATTTTAATTAGGACTGAAAATGCGATTTAAAATTATTTCATTCATTTTAAAAATAACTAAAATTATTGAAACAGGGTACTATTAA